TCCAGGGCTCCAAGAGCACAAGGAGGATACATTCTTCCCTTGCAGATAGTGTTTGTTTTCCACTCATAGTGAAATTAAGCAGTCCATGCTCTTAGAAGGTGAACGGGCCGGTTGGTGGAAGAGACAGTTCACGGTGAGGACCCGTGAGACTGAGAGAAACCCACCCCATTTCAAGATGGTAACGTGTGGAAGAGGAAGATGGGCTTCATCTGAATGGGCCACATTTTCCCAGTGCCAATGGAACTATCTCCAAGGGGCTCTTCTGTGGAGGCTGCCTAGATTCCATCCCACTGCATTTCAAAATGTACAAGAATTGTGGGCACAAAAACAGTCCTTTACACTTTCTCCTCTTGCCTGGTCCACAATTAGAGGTGTGCATAATAAGAAAGTTGGTAAACTGTTCTGATAACTTTGTATTGGACAGAATAGTTTGAAAGCATCTCAAATACCATCTTAATGAACTTATCAAATTAATAAAGTCTTTTTTGGTCACTTAGTTTCCACTCAATGAGCCCGAACTGTGCATTTAGACAGATCTGGCTTAAATCCTGGCTCTGCCACATGATATGTTGATTGTATGACTTATGTCACATGAATGAATTTCTTACCATCTGAATGTCCCATCTTGGAAAATGGGGAGGATAAATTCCAACATTGTACAAGGGTGGGAGTACTGAATAGGTGATCGTTTGAAATCGTATTAATTGCACGTGGTAGGCAGTCAGTCAAAGGTTTTGCTTCCCTTGCAGAGAGCAGCTAAGGGCTTGGGACCACCTGGCCCTTTGAGCATAGCCCTTTACTTTATCAAGGATGCTGGTCTTCTAGTTTTAAAATAGAAATCTACAGTCATTTCAGAAATTATAAAGGTTTGCTAGAAGTCCCTAATGCCCACTGTCACTTTGTAATTATATGAGATCAATTCGGGGACTTGACTGTCCTTTCCATTCCATAAGCTGCCAATCTAACAACACTTGGCTAGACCAGAAGACAGATCCTAGGCCTCACATGGTAACTTACACAAAGAGAGCAACCCGACAGCAGATCCCACAGAGCTCATATTTCCACTGATAGAATTCAACCCTAGACATAAATTACACGGTGCTTACAAGGCAAATGAAACACAATCTATCAAGATGGAATCACCAAGCTTGCACCTTGCAGCCAAAATGGATGTGATTGAAACAAGTTTCTTTGCAGATTCTTATTTCGGATTCTGACATTTTCCGACAGTTTGCTTAAAAGTTTTCTGAAGTAACTGAAAAGTAATTGTATTTTCTGGCAACATAGTAGAATCCCTAGGAAAGCACTTAAAATGCAGCAGCTGCTGGCATAGGAAGAGGAGATACTAGATTATAGATACCCTGCCAGAGATTTAAAGCTATTTTTTTTTTGTACTCTGAAGAAAGCAACGTAATTATCTTTCCCCCAAATAATACCTTTTTTGCCTGATAATGTATCAGTCTACCAGAAACTCTTGACTAGCCTTGTCTTCTCAGGATAAACAATATGCAGTCTTAAGAAAACGAGGGAGCATAGTTGATTATCAAACTGTTTGATCTCCCTCCCGTCTGAGAGGTGAAAAATTATATCTCCCTGTATCAAGTATCCTGCCAGGTATAAGCAGGTCCTCAGCTCTCCTCTCCAGCATCCCTGTAAAGTCTCTGTGGGGAGCAGGTGCTCGGCTTGGCGGCCTGCGGCCTGGCAGCTGATGCGGGATTCGTGATCATTTCTGCAGCTCCTCTATGGGGCACTCATTATCCACACTGCCTTCAAGCCGTGGTCCAGATGGTCTTCACACCACCATGTGGGTCAGGGCAGAGCTGCACACAGGGCAGCGGCGGGCAGGTGTGTGATGTGGGCCCTGTTGTGTGTCGGGGCATCTAAGGGAGGCGCGGAGGGAGAAATGGGCCTCCTTCGGTTTCCTCTCCTCCCACTGGCATCTCTTCACTAGGGATTATGGAGCAGTCACACCTGCAGAAACTGCCTCAACGTGTGTGTGTGCTGCAGGTGAAACAAGACAAGATGGACAAGGAGGTCTCCTGCCTTAGAGCAAGGCTGACTTTTAGGTCACCCTCTCCCATCACCAGAACACAGGCAGGTAAAAGACAATAGTCTATAGGACTCTTTTGCAGAAATCATCATTTATCGAATTTCCTGCATTGAAATAATTTCTGTTTTACTAGATATGTGACTGTGTTCTCATTCCCTGACACATAAGTGTCTTTTTTTTTCTTTTTCTGAATTAGTCTCAGTTTACTCTGATATTACTCCGTTTACTCAATTTTATTATAAAAGTGATTGTGGCCTTCATCAAGTGACACATCTTAGGATCCATTCTTTCGGCCTGACCAGAAACTATTTTCTCCTCCGTGCTGCAAAAGTATTTATCAATAAATACTTTAGCATTTATTAGGAATAATAAGAATATTTAGCATTTATTAAGAATAATGAAGAATCACTTTAGCATTTATTAATTCATTTAACGAATGTTTTCATCAGGCATTGTGCTAGGGCCTAGGTGTAATAAAGAAAAATGAGAATATTGTCCCTCTTCTCAAGACGCTTATAGTCTGAGGCTACATTTATTTCCCAAAGTATGCTGCAGAGAAAACATGTTCCTATAGTTGTTTCACTGTGCCCTCCCATTACACTCCCCCATGCCCTCATCAAACATGTTTTTGAAATGCTGTATGCAGGGTACATCCCCATATTAAAAGCTCTGGAGGTTTAGTGATAAAGGATCCTATTTAGTTTTATCTTAGATAGGTTTAAACATACTTGTGTAGCACCTGTTGGTGGCCCAAGAAACTAGCATTTCTCAAACAACAAATGAAAAATGTTTTCCTGAGCATCTCTCCCTTTCTAGTGGGGGAAGAATTTGGGAAAAACAGTAAGATCTTAGACTCCCCAAATAGATTATTGAATCCAGAGCATTTTAAGGACAGAATGTGTATTATGTGCTTGGAACCGTCGTATGCAAGTTCAAATTATGCGTTATCATCACTTACATAATTGCATTTTAAAATTCTGAACTCCTACAGGCAAGGTTTAAAGAATTGTCTTAACAGATCACCTTCCCTTGAAACTTTCTCATTGTGCTTTGCTGGTTTCCTCCTGATTTTGCCCTTCTCCAAGCATCGTAAAGAATCTGGGCCTTTGTTGTTGATTAACAAGATCTCAGGAAGATCATATGGTTGGTTGCCTCGCATGGGTTGGAAGCAGGAGTCCCCATCCTTTTGGGGAGCCAAGGCTTACCGTTTTCTAATGCTCTGACCTCATTGAGGAATTCCTGATAGCATCTGGCTCTGTCACTCTCCTGCTTGAAATACTCTTGAGCAGCTGCCCCTCGCGGCGGGGTGGCTGCAGGAGACTGGCTGGGCATCCCTGTTGTAAATGACAGCTGCAGGGTGATTTTGGTCAGGGCTGCCAAGAGGCAGAAGTTGAGTGAAACATTATAGAATTTTCATTATTCACAGTGGCAGTGTGTTCACGGCCAAACAAAGAGGGTACCAGTTGCATACAGAAAAAAAAAAAAAAAAAGGATCTTTTTTTTTTTTTTTTTTTCCCAAAACCTCACTGATGTTCTCTCATTCCCAGAAAGTGGAACAAAGGAAGTAAAAGTGAAGGTACGTTGACTATTTCAGCCCTGGCCACTTCCGTCTAGTGTATATCCCCTTGGCCGGTGGGGCTTAGCAGCACTACGACCACCATCTAGCAGTCATGGAGCGCTTTCCCAGTACCAGATACCAACGCCCATAACCATTATCTGACTTCCTCCTCCCAACACACTTTTACAAGTGAAAAACCTGAGATGTTGAGCGCCATGTAACTTGCCCAAGTCGTACAGCTCGTAGCTTGGGAGACGGAGACTCCAACGGAGACCGTCCAGCAGGGCTTTAGTGGGAAGTCCATGCCATCAACTCACCACTGGGTGAGCTTCTCAAGTCTACGAACAGCAACTGTTGTTTAAAGAGATGGCTTTTCCCAGCAGTAGTACAACATGGTATTTCTTTTTTTTTTTAATAAATTTTATTTATTTATTCATGAGAGGCACAGAGGGGTGGGGAGGCAGAGACACAGGCAGAGGGAGAAGCAGGCTCCATGCAGGGAGCCCGACGTGGGACTCGATCCCGGGTCTCCAGGCTCAGGCCCTGGGCTGAAGGCGGCGCTAACCCGCTGAGCCACCCGGGCTGCCCACAACATGGTATTTCTAAGCCAAGGTGAACAACAGGAAATGAATTTAGCGACTGAATTCCATTTTTGATTGCTAGATTTCAGCGTAAAAATCACAGTGCCGGTTTCTTTTCTGGCTTTCCCCTTCAGCAGATAAAGCTAGAGACACTAAATGATTTTTATGGGCATGAAAATGACTGCCCAGCGTAGCCCAATTTAATAGCTTCTTTTGGATTAAGATGGCTTAATTATTGTTTGTTCCTGTTCTTTAAGCACCATCCTGTCCCCTGGCTGCCCTGGCTGAAATGAGGATCAATGAGTTCCTAGTTCCCCACTAAGGGGACGGGGCCGGGGAGTGGGATGTGCATGTGGCTTGGGTCCGGAATTTGTGGAATACAGTCATCAGGGGAGGCGAAGCCTGGAATCTCTCCACGATTCCCGTGGAAATGGAAAACTCTGCGAGGGAATTGCAGCCAGGCTTCCATCCAGTGCTAAGAGGTGCATTCCTTGGGAGCGTTTTTCTCTCTGAGCACGTCTTAGATTTCCTCTATGGCTGCCGAGAGATTTTCCTTTTCCTTTCTTTCAGAGATTAGAAAGGGATTTTATCCTTAAAGAGCTCGGTTCCAATGTGAGAAGTATCCCTTCCACGCGCCCTCAGGGAAGGAGACACGGGAGGCCCTTCTATTCCTCTCCCAGCCACTGTCCATGGGTCGATGGAGGCATCAGGTCTTCAGAAGACCTTTGGCCTACGAGATTAGCAATAACTTCTCTGAGACTGGAGGGGAGGGGCGTGGTCCAGATGTCATTGTATTTTTCTCATCCTACAGTTCTCACAATTCATCCTGATTTCCTCATTGCCAAGTTTTGACACAGAAGGTTCTTTTTTGATAAGACTGAATGCTCGGGACTGTTGCTCGCCATTCTTCCTGCAGCCCATGCTAAGGTTCAGGTCAGTATTTGAGATAAACTTTTATTAGAGTGTTTCCATTAAGGTGCTCTAAGGCCGTTACGTCAAGGAATAGAAACATTTATCTTGTCCTGATTTAATTGCAGAAAGGAAGGTTGGTTTTATATGCTATAAAGCTGTTTGCAGGGAAGATAGAGCTTCATGTCTGTGGTCCCAGTGTTTCATTTTGTTGAGACCTTCAGTTTCTCTGAACACTGCTGAAATTATAATGCAGTTTCACTTTATGAGGCCCCTGAAATGGTGGCTCCAGTCCCCGCCTGGTTTACCAAATTGACCATGACAAGGACGCTATGGAGTGCTAGGAGCCAGCTCGGCCAGATTCGTGGCAGCAGCTCATGGGATTTGCATGCTCTGCCTTAGGAGACGGCTTCATAAAGGTTCGCGCTGCTGCCGAGAGGATGTCTCCCCCCACCCTTGACCATGTTGCTTTTCTCCTTGACAATAACTTCTCAGAGCCCACCTATAACTCCTTACCCTGTCATCCTTATATCCTTGACCAAGGTGCCCTGATGAACCAGTCTCCTCTAATTCCTCCTCTTAGGCTTTTCCTCCCTCTCTGAGCCCAGGTCAGCTTAGTGTTGGACATTTGGCAAAGAATAGACCCTGGTGAAGAGAAGTCAGTGTCTTCTCCTCTTGCAATCACCCAGTTTCGTGTACCTTGAGCCCCATCTTGCTCCTTGGCTGAGCTGATGGAGACCCATCCATCAGTCTCCAGGCCACTGGTTTGCTGAAACAAAAGCACCACTTCTTCTTCTTTTTTTTTTTTTTCAAAAGGAATTTTTCACTTGAAACTAAGCAAAGAGCAAACAAGTACCAAAGTACAGAACGTGTCAAATCGAAGACCTCTACATCCTGGCCTTTTCCACTTCAGAATCAGTGTTTCCTAATGGACTGTCCATAGAGGTCTGGTTCCTTCAGATAATGAGGAAAGATAATTGCCACACAACAAAATAATAGGTTCCCCTCATCTCCCAAGTTTCTCTTAGTGCCTTCCTAGGATGCACCCAAGAGTAGCTCTTTCCAAGTCTATCATTAATCATAAAATGACAAAATTATACATACTACAAATATATCAGATGTTATTTCAATCTAGGATTTAAAAAGGGGGTCCTTCTTTTTCATCCACCCAAACATGAGCCTTCCCATCTTATTTCATTTAACTAGGATACTCTGGCACTTTGAAGTTAACTCCATTCCATCCTTTGCATCAACTAAAATCCCAACTCTTTTGTGAGATTTCCTTCGGGGTCAAGCCGGGCTCTACATCTGCTGTATTATATTCCAACTGATTGGAAGAACCTCCGAAGGTCAGTTCTTACTTTGTTCTTCTAAATAATCAGGGGACTCCATCATATATATACAATGCATATGTGTGTTCATTTATTGTTCGATGTCCTACAGAGGTTATCCACTCCTTAAGGACAAGAGCTGTGTGTTTAGCAGTCTAGAGCTATGACAGATACATCTGGTCAGTAGGAAAACACTATTTAGTGATAATTATGTGGAATTCAGGAATTGGGAGATATCTTGTCCATCACTTCAGAATAACCAGTTACTTCCTTTTAGGCACAATACATTGATTCTAGGAAGTTAAGACATTTAGAGATAATACCACTTTGAAATGGAAACATCAAAAGGGTTGCTAATGAGTCAGTGGAGAATCTATCCCTTTTATAAAATTCCATTGTGTCTGTACCTTTTTATGGAAAATATTACTTTCTTTTTTAAATTATATTTGAAAGTACAGACATAAGATTTCCGAGGACAGAATTCCTATTGCAATCGTCTTGATATATTCTTCATCCTCACGTAAGCACTATGTCTTAGTGAACTTCTACTGAATTCATGCAGATGGGACGGGCTGTGGAGCAATAATGGAAGGGATGCCAGGGTAAGTGGCTTTAAGTGATAGGCTATCTATGTAGTTGGTTTGGGCTCCCTTTCTATAGGTCAAGGCCCCTTTATTACTCTCTTGCTCTCTTCACCCCCTCCCTGACCTCTATCAGAAGGGTCAATTCCTATAGAAAAATTTCATGAATGTTATTTTCAACTTTTCACCTATTATTTACATATGGTGTAGAACTAACCCTTACCTTGTACTTTTGTGCCTTTTTCTGTCCCTCTCCTTTTGTACTTCGTTTCCCCATCTCTCTCTCCAACTACATCTCTTCCTTTCTGAAAGCCTTCCTCCCATGCTGTTTCACTTTCTTCCTTCAGAGATGAACATCAAACAGATGAGAACGAGATAAAACAGATAAATACATATATGGGGTGGGACAGAGTGTACACAGAGTTACTGAGGCTGTCTTTATTCTGTGTATACTTCCATGCTTGTTTCATAGAATATTGACTTAGGTGATTTTTAAAGACCAGTTCATTTTCGTAGCAGGCTTTCTAGTTAAGTGATTAAATGCAGTATAAAATGACAGAACAGTTATGAAGTGTTCAGTGTATTCCTGGTAATTGCAGCAATTGTAAACTTAAGACTTCTTTCCTTTCACAAACACTTGTTAAGTACAGACTATATGCCTGGCAAGGTGTAGGACACTGAGTGCACAAAGCTGTTAAGACATGATCCTTGTGAGTGGGAGGGTGAAATAACAAACTCCCACCTCAGAAAGCTCAGGGCAATATTAGCTCTTCAGTCAGACTGTCTTGGAAATGTTCTTGTTTTGTAGAAAAATACCTCATGAACCTTCCTTTCCAGCACTCCAGGGTGAATAAGAGAGGGAGAGATGCTAACTCAGTGGAGAGTGAACCCAATGTCATTTCAAACTTAGGAGTGTTTTTTTGTTTTTGTTTTTGTTTTTGTTTTTGTTTTTGTTTTTGTTTTTAGGAGTGTTAATATAATAGCTACTTGCTATTAGTTTTAGTAATCATACAGAGAATGGAAATAATGATGTCACTGGACAGTCTCAACTCTGCTTCTACAATTTGACCTGTTCCGTTAGTTCACTTGTCCTCCAGCCTCACAGAGCATCAGAATCACCTGGGCAGCTTCTAAATAGACCCACCTCGAGATAGATTGAATCATCTGGGACATAAGGAGATGTTCAATCTCCCCAGAAGATTTTAATGTACAAGTTGGGTTGAGAAATGCTAATGAAATTGGTTGGTTATTAATTAGCTGGATCACCTCTCCTCCACAAGAATTAAATTAATCATAAATAGCAAGAACGATAATTAAAGGCATTTAAATAGAAGAGTTTGGAGGTGGGGTTAGAATTCAAACGTTAGTTCCCTGGAAGGAGGGAACAAATTAGTGCTTTAGGAAACAGATTTTTTTTTTCCTGGCACAAATTCTGAGAGAAATTCTTGTGCTTGATGACAAATTAAAGGCAGCTTTTAAAAAACTATGTTATTGAAGCTTTATTGAGGTATAAGTAACATGCAAAATCCTGTATGTTTTAATGTATTTCACTTGATGTGTTTAGAGGTGAGTATATGCCCAAGAAACTATCACTGCAATGGAGGCAGGTCTTTATGGGATTATAGGGCTGTGATTTTAATGAGTAGTCCTGAGGTCTCAAGTGACACACAGACCAAACTTAGACTAGCGCTGGCCCTACACCTTATCACACCTCACACTTTGAGGACATGACCTTTGAACAGCTCTTCGTGGGAACTGGTATTAGCACACCAAATTTCTACTTCCTTAGAAGGGCCTGAATGAAATGGTCTTGTCACTGCTAATTAACTGGCTTTGAAAACCATGTAGATGAGTAGTGGGTAAGGATATTTTATGATGAAAATAAAGCCTATTCACCTTTATGTAGAAGGGCAAGAGTATCTGAAATCCAAGTCAGCATATTTCTTAGGAAGTACTTCTGAATTTCCTAGATCACTTGAATTGGTGCCTAAGCCTCCATTTACTATGCCGGGATATAGCCTAAAATAAGTTTGGGCCCCAAAAGTATTTAGGCCCACACTAAGAGTGTGAAAGAAAACTGTGTGACCTACATATCATGTCTCTCTATACAAAGAGCTCCTTCAAACAAATAGTAAATTCAGAACAATAGAAATGGGATAAAAGTTTATGTAAAGACAGTTCACAAAAAAAGACATGTAAGTAGTTCTTTAGAAAAGAGGAAAATGCTCAACTTCACTTATAATAAGAAAAAATGCAAGTTAAAACTAATCTGATATATCATTTAAAAGTCTATCATATGGTAAATATCCAAAAATTACACAGACTGTGGGGAAACATGGACTCTTGTACATTTACTGATGAGAATATAAGTTGACATAGCTCTACGGATGACAGTTTGTCAATATCAAACAAAATTACAATGCACATAACATTTGATCCAGCAATTTACCTTCCAGAAATTTAACCTGCAGGAATGAACAAGGTTACTGCTGGAGAATTATTTGTAAGAAAAATTTGGATAAACCTAAATGTCTATATAGTAGTACGTAAAACAGAACACTGAAACCATTAAAAAAAACATGGGAGATTAATTTACCAATTAGGAATAATCATCATCTACTGTTGAGGAAATATATATATATATATATATATATATTTATATATATGTATATATATTTATATATATTTATATTTATATATATATCTCAAATGTTGCCCTTTAAAAAAAAAGATTTTATTTATTTATTCTAGAGAAAGAGCGAGTGAGTGGGCAAAAGAGAAAGAGAGAGAGGACGAGCCAGGGGAAGGACAGAGGGAGAGGGAGAAGCAGGCTCTCGATGAGCAGGGAGCCCAACGCGGGCTTGATCCCTGCACTCCAGGATCATGACCTGAGCTGAAGGCAGACACTTAATGGACTGTGCCACCCAAGTGCCCCCACCTTTGGTTCTTTTTGAATTATCAACCACATGAACTTATGTAACATTCAAAAGTAAAGTTACAGGCTATTGTTGCCAGTTGGCAAAAACAGTCACAAGAACTTGATGGGATGAGCACTGGGTGTTATGCTATATGTTGGCAAATTGAACTCCAATAAAATAAATAAAATTAAAAATAAATAAATAAATAAATAAATAAATAAAATAAAATGCCAACATAAAAAAAAAAAGAACAAGCAATAATATTCCTGCATGAAATCCTGTTCTAAGACAGAATGGCCCCTTGGTGTGCCTACCTCCATGGGTACAAGTTCAAAACCAAGTCATTTTCCATATTTACCTACTCTGTGGAATTACTCATTATTGAGCACTCCTACGTTGGAGAATGTAAACAAAAGCAATGGTGGGAATTTGGCTGCTCTAGTTAATGGGAAACTCACTCCTTGATGCCAGCCACAAATGAACAAATGGTCTTCCTGAAAAATTCTCCCACATGCTCCAACTTTGAGCTCCTTTTCCATAACTCCTAATTCTTCTGGTCTTAGTCCACCCATCCATTCCTCCAGAGAGTATCCCTTAACCTCTTCCCTAAGTGTCTGGGCTGGGTTTCCTTCCCATGTGCTCCCAAGTACCCTATTAACCTTGATCTTTATCCTTCTCTATTGCCAGTCACCTGTTAACTTGTCTTTCTCCTGTAGGGGCAGGGACTGGGTCTTAACTCGCTCCCTGCTGTTCCATTAACATCTGCCACAGAAACCAGCCCGGTAATTTGCACTCATAGAAATTTGTTGAGTAAATGAATAAGGGACAGTTTTGGTTTTTTGTTTTTTGTTTTTTTTTTTTATCAAAGATCACTCCTAAATCATGACAAGGAAATGATGCTCTTAGCATAAGCTCCTATTCAGTTTTGGAGACCAGGGGCAATAGGTGGGGAGACATTAGATTTCTTAAAAATAAAATGAACCCTGTAAAGTCATTTAAATGTAAATTTAGCAAAAGATAACTCTAAACACATCTTTTTTTTATGTTTTAAAAAGTGTTATCACTTGTCTTGGCTCAGTCACTTATAGTTCTCTGTTTCTGGAGGAAGACTGTTGACAACTAACTTCTGTATACATTCTTCTCCCTTCCCTGGAGAACCTAGCAGGTAACCAGGTGCCCTGCCCCTGAGCTGAGAGTTGGAGTATCATCTTCACCATTTTTGCATCCATTCTGTTCAAACAAATGGACCATTAATTTGAAGTATGGTATTTTTGGAAGTTTAATAAATCTGTAGGAGAGCACTTAAAATTAACGTTCAGAATTATTGTCAGAGGACCTATTTTCCTCCAACTAAAGTTTATGCATCAACAGACCAATTGCAAGTCCTGACAGGGCAAGGAGCCAGTTTCTCATCCTTTCAAAGTTTCGTGCTGACAATAATACTTGAGTTTTATGCATATATCCACATGCACACTGCCCAATTTGGCTGCTGTTCCCTAAAAAGCTGGTGAGTATGACTGACCAGTGACTCCAGGCATGGTCAGAAAAGAAGAGAGACCTGGGTAGATAGACACTAAAGTATCCGGAGCAAAAATTAACATTTGTAAACCCCTTCTGACATCTGCTTTTATAATTAAACAGAATATATTAGGGAGGGGAAGGACATTTTATGGATAAATCCTTTGCTATATTGAGAACATCTTGCCTTTCTAAGAATAGGAGTTTGTTCTAAAGCCTGATGTTTGTGTGTGTCGGTTCTAGCATAGGATTTACTTAACTCTCATTGTCTTTGAAATTTTTGTTCCCTTTATTTTTTTAATAGATTTTTTAAATTTTTATTTATTTATTCATGAAAGACACAGAGAGAGGAAGAGACACAGGCAGAGGGAGAAGCAGGCTCCATGCAGGGAGCTAGACGTGGGACTCGATCCCAGGACCCTGGGATCATGCCCTGAGCTGAAGGCAGACCCTCAACCACTGAGCCACCCAGGTGCCCCAAATTTTTGTTCCCTTTAAAAGGGAACTTTTCTTTTTTTTTTTTAACAAATTAATTTTTATTGGTGTTCAATTTACCAACATACAGAATAACACCCAGTGCTCATCCCATCAAGTGTCCCCCCTCAGTGCCTGTCACCCATTCACCCCCACCCCCCGCCCTCCTCCCCTTCCACCACCCCTAGTTCATTTCCCAGAGTTAGGAGTCTTTATATTCTGTCTCCCTTTCTGATATTTCCCACACATTTCTTCTCCCTTCCAAAAGGGAACTTTTCAAACTAACTTAACTGTTCTTTCTTTTTCTTAAAATAGATTTTTACTTATTTATTAGAGAAAGAGCACAAACAGAGGGGTATGGCAGGGGCAGAGGGAGAGGGAAAAGCAAGCAGACTCCAACAAGGCCTGGATCCCAGGACCCTGAGATCGTTACCTGAGCCAAAGGCCGACCCTTAACTGACTGAGCCACCCAGATGCCCCTTAACTATTTTTCTTGATTGAATCTTTTCTTTGCAATGGAAATGCAGTGGAAAATATTTGGGATATCACTCTTTGTATGAAATAACAAAGCTACCTTTCCCCCCCTCTCCTCCCACCTATAGTTTTATTTTTATTTTTTGTATATTTTTTATTGGAGTTCAATTTCCCAACACATATTATAGCCAGTTTTTAGTATTGACTTTAGCTACGGCCAGAGTATAAATGCAGAACAAATGAAGAAAATGCCAGGCTCTCTCTTCTGCTCTAACTCATCCCTCAGGAGAATTTGGTTCATGCCCTCTAGACCTGGACAGGCAGGATTTTGCCTTCTTCTTTCCCCACTACGCCCTGCAGGAATATATATGTTCCCTAGGAGTTGAATAAGTGTTTTAAAATGAGCGGTGTGATGGTTGCAGCTTGGAGTAGAGCCCATTATGAGTTGAAAAGAATTCCCAGCTGTGTTTTCACTAGTCCAGAACCCAGCTGCAGCAGTGCAGGGGACTCTATTTCTTAAGCCCTGTATGTATATGTACATATTCACATCAATGCATATGAGTGCATGACTTTGAAGCAGTTGGGAAGCCCTGAACCTTAGAGATGAATTCATTTTCTTTGTGAGATAGACCTGAGTATCTACAGGGACAGGGTAAATATATTATACTTCTCTGTTTATTAAATTGTAAAGATTCTCAGCATGATTTCAAATATTAGGGGCATCAAAAAAAAATCAAAAGCACGTCAAAGTAGGTAAGGGCATGGAAACAAAAAAATAGTAATTCGAGGTAGGTCAAGGGATATCAGCATACGTTGAAAAAAAGAGCAATGAGGTTTAAAGTAGATTCAAGATTAGTGTTATAAAAGGACTCCTCTCTGGCCTTGGATAACATAGAGTAAGTCTGACTTTCCTCCTTACTGGGGGAACTGATTCTCATAAATATAGGCTGAATTTCCCTTTAAGATTATGTAAGCAAGGGAGAGGTAATTATACTGAAATTTGGAAGTGAGGTGCAGAGAGAAAGCAATACTCTTCTAAATAAAAAAAAGAAAATCGTGACTCTGGGCTTCCATCACTTTTCACAGGATCAACAGCCAATGAAACTCAAGAGCCTAATCCAAAGACAAAGTCAGAGTTAAGGAAATGTGTCTCCAACTTTCTTTAACAGTGCTTATCTCATAATCAACAAGGTCCATCATTGGACACTTTAGTTACAAAGTATAATGGGTCAAAATAAAATATCCAATCCAATAATCCCATCATGAAACCTGATGCCATTTGTACCAAGACTGTATTCCTCATCCTCTCACATGGACTATAATCCATGTTGGGTTTCTGAATGCCTGATCGCATGACCTCAGACCCCTGTATCAAGTTTTGAATGCCAGTTTTCCCCAAACCCTGAGCTTAGTTTTAGCTCCCCCTGTTTACTGACTCACCGTAGTGTCATCATTATCTATCAGTTTAGGAGCTTTTGAAACGCTGTCCTCCATGGGATCATTCACATCCTCCTTGAAAATCCCAGTACATGAAAGGAACTGCAACACTAAAAGAGCAAACAGCAAACTCCTCAACAAATCACAAGGAAAAAGCATAGCAAAGGCTAAAATGACCAACTATCTAAATGTCCTCAAAAAACCTGGGCAGGATGGAGGAGGAAGAAAGCAGTTTTGGAAAGGCGTTGCTATGCCTAGAAAGACAGGGACAGTGTTTCAGACTTAATTGCCAGCAATTTTCTCTGCATTCATTACGCTCATTCACCAGCCTAGTATTATTTTGATGTCATTATTCTGCGGATGGCCTTGGTTTTATTTTTCAGAATACAAGAAAGGGACAAAAAGAATTTCATCAGGAGCCTGTCAGGCAAGTGTTCTCTTCTCGGAGGAGGAGAGTGGTGAAATCTATGTCAGCGAACTATTCACTCGCACACGGTTTCCCTAGAGCTAGAAAACCGGTGTCCAGGGTGTGACTGGCAGTCCTCTTGTTCTCAATATCGACAATAGGTCAAATTTGGGATCTGACTCCTGAGTCTGTGTTGGGCCACAACTCCTTGGCAGCAGCGTTTTTATGATGAAAGGAGAACATGCAGCTGACTAGGATTTAGAGCTCTGCTCAAGGTCAAAGGGGGCACCTCCACATGGCAGGCTTCCTGGGCAAAGTCCAGGGCACCAGAGAATCAAAGCTATTTGTTAAGGCAGCCAAGAGTGTCCATTAGGGCTCTTTGTAGAGAATTTAGGGCATGAAATAGAAGATATGGCCCCTCAAATGGAGGGGAAAAAAATACACAGGCAAGAAAATGGGACAGTCACAAATGAAAATAGATAGAAACACTTGAAGAATAGCAGCGGAAATATGCAAAGCCTGTCACTGCGCTAATTGGACGTGTACAGAGATATATGCTCATGTGCTAAGATAGCTTGGGATTAGCTGGGGGGGGGGGTCTGTGTGACCTTCACAGTATGAAAAATAAGATTTTTGGCAACATACTTCAGCTTCAAGGTACTTGATGACTCGCCCTCCCTCCTGGATCTTGTGTATCCCCTCTACTCTGTCTCATGCTGAGGATGACTAGACCTGATGCCAAAAACCACAATAGGGGAGGAGAGGAAACGGCCGCTTGGGCTGGGGGTGAAGAAGGGGTTAAAAGAATGTAAAGGGGGGGCCTGCCGGGAATTGGCCAACAACTGGTGGAATCGGCAAGCAGCTGGCTCTCCAGAAGGCTGGACGTGTGTCGTGCCTACAGCCGAGGCAGGGGGACAGCCTGACACGGTCTCCTCCTGGCCTGCACGTCGGGTTGCTTGAGCCTAAGGTGGAGAACTGAGAGTAGTTTGAGGGATTCTTTGTAAGGTCGGCCTGCTAAGGGGAGGGATGCACCTCCCCTGTTGGAGCCTGTCCCATAGCCCGACTCCGGTCACAAACTCTGAGCTTCCAAAGGAGACCGTGGGGGAGACCGAGGCAGGCGACAAAGGGCCCGCCACCGCTGTCCGGCAAGGAAGGCCACCTGGCTACCCCGCTGCTCCCCTACGCGGCAAGACGGAGGGCCAGGTGGCAGATGGGGCCCAGGGGGCCCATAAGGTACAGGGAGACGATGTAAGAGAAAAGGCAGTTAATTCAATAAGGACAAAAGCATAAGCGAGCTAACTATGGGGGCATCAGAGTATTTAAAGTTGATAGTGTCTTAAGAATTAGAGAACACTGGCTTGTGGTTGCTGTGAATTTTTCATGCGCCGAAGCTCAGTCTAATTTGGTGCCTTCATCCCAGCGCAGAGGAGCTGGCCCAGCCGGAGTCCAGGGGGCGCGACCTAAGGAACTCGCCATCACCGTGGAGCGAGTGTGCACAGCGGATCAGGAGACAACCTGGCCATTTCTCATTTGCACTGGAACCGCCTCCGAAGTGTGAGGCTGCGTGCGGTGCACACCCCTCAGGTGTAAGCCTCAGCCCGGCCGAGGGAAGGCTGACCCCACCTCGGGGCTCCCTCTTCCAAGGGCCTCTCTGGGAGGTGGCTTGTCCTAGACGCTGGTAAGACAAGGGCATGAAGCACCCCAGACACCCTCCCCGACGAGTTTTTGCCACCATAAACCTCACTTGATGAATAATCTTTGTGCTGAAAGAGGAAAGAATTTTGATGAAGGTAAAAATATCCATCGACCAGTTGCTAGAAGTATTCTCCAGTTTATCTCCAACTAAATGCCCCAAAGTGACTTCAAGGGCAGGGTTGTTCCTCTTCTTTTGCCTTTTTATGCAAAATCAGTTCTTCTGAACAACATAGATAAAATTAGCACCAAACATAATCTGAGCTGAGAGAGTTAATTACACATCCTAGAAAAGATGCACCCATCAATACTTCTTCTTTTTTTTTTTCTTCCATCAATACTTCTTTTTATAAATTATCACTTTTAAAATTATCTGTATGTTTTGTTTCATGACCTTTGTCTGAAACCAACTTTAAGGATCATTTCCTCACTAGGGATATTGCAGGGTCAAAGACTCACACTGGCAATGAACAAGGGCTTGCAACTTGTGCTTTTCGTAAAAATGAAATATTACAAGTGACAGCAAGAATAATGAATCGCAAAACGGTAGCGGCAGAAATCCTGGAACTCTTTCGTGGGAGGGTTAGAATTGCCACCACCTTCCCTCCTTATCACTAGCCACCTTCAACCCAGCATATGGTGCAGAGCTGTGCTCTCAAAGGAGGGTCCTCCATCATCAGGTGAAGAATCGTGTGTGCCGAGCATGTGTCATAAAGTAGCTCAGAGTCTATATAATTTTCTTCACAATTAAAATTTCTTGCTTTCAGTTTATGAACGGACTCACAAGAGGTTGACTCTACAGAGAACAAGAGGGAGCTAACTATTAAAAACAGGACAATCAAAAAAATTTTAAAAAATTAAAAAATTAAAAAAAAAAAATAAAAACAGGACAATCACAGTTCACCACAGCAGCATTTGCCAGCATAAAATTTTGGCCCAAGGTACTGATACTGAGCTGTGGATTACAATCTTTAGTAAGACTGCAGCCATCTACCATTAGCTGAAAGAAAATCATTTCCTAATTAGGATTGTCACCTACTCAGAGCCTGGGGTTAAAAGGAAGGAGAAAAAGAAAGGAAAAAAGTTCTACACACTAATTTCATCATCTTTTCTATCTTTAATGCTCAGCTGACAAAGTAGCTCTAAGAAAATGAGATCTGAGCCTAAAAATTTAACTATGGTGTTAATTCCTTTTCTAAAAATTAGATTATTGATTCTCTAAATACTTGGTTGCTAGCTAGCATTTGTCCTTGAGATTGGGTCTTACAGTATGATACTTGAGGCAGTATCAAAAACGAAGAATTGAATTTCACTCCAAGTTTTTTTGTTTTTTTTTTCAAGTACCTGAAAAAGGAGCACTTATTCTTTGGGATCTTATCTGTTCTTTCTCCCTTGGGGAGAGGTAAATGTTATGGTACAAGAACACAGGCCTTGGCGTCACAGGCTGGATGATTCACACCCACCCCTGCTTAGCTCTAGGCCTTGGGAAAATCACTTGATCCCTATAAGCCTCAGTTTCCACATCCACAGGGGATAAACTTGTCATACATTATCTATCTTAAAGGTCATAACGAAGGTTAAATGATATAACACACTCAAATCTGACTGCCGGAGTCAAAAAGTTGTTTATTCCCTTGCAGAACAGGGAGCCAGTAAGGAATCTTTTCACTCCGAATAATAGCAAATACAGCCCTAAATGGCTTGCATGAGAAAGGAAATCCATCAGCTCACATCTTTGGAAGTCTATGGATAAGGTTGGCTTCAGACAGGGCTTAGTCTAGAGACTCAAATCAGGTCTTGAGGCTCAGTTCTCTGAGTCGCAGGCTTCACTGTTTCCTGTGCTGGCCTCACCCTCTGGCTGGCTTCCCTTGAGGCAGCAAGATGGTTGCAGCCCAAAGCCTCATATTTACTTACTGTCGTAGCCTATGGAATAAAAAACCAATGGCAACAGTGAAAACAACAGCAGCTACTATCTACTGATCCATGTATTAGGTGCCTTTTTTCTTCTTTTTTTTCCCCTTACCGTATATACCTACCATGTACAACTTGAGGATTTGATGTATGTATGTTGTGAAATATTCACTGTGATCAAAGTAATTAATCTCCATTTCAGCAGCCTTGAAGCTATAGACACCCAGGTGGGAGTAGATCTGTATTAGGGAGCATATACGGATATGCATGTACTTCTATGGTCTCGTTGTCCATTTTACATGTGAACAAACTGAAATACAGAGAGGTTAAGTAATTTTCCCAAGGCTTTCCACCTAGACGGCCACATAACCAAGACTGATCCAGCCTAGGGCTAAATTTTGTGCTTAGGACTTCTCTGCTGAGCAGCTCCTTTCCAGAACCCCCAAGAAAAAGCTGGTAACAGCTCATTGTCTCGGAGTTATATACCTTTTTACAGGCTCCTGGGAACAGGGTATGCTGATTGGCTTGAAGCTATTAGGACCCACTCTGGGGCTCAGAGTTTCATCAATCCATTGACAGAACCCAGCTGACAAGGCTGCAGGAGGACTTTGCCAAAAGGGACTGTTAAAAGAAGAGGGGATGGGGCGCATGGGTGGCTCAGGTCGTGTCCCGGGGGTTCTGGGATTGAGTCCCACGTCGGGCTCCCTGCAGGGAGCCTGCTTCTCCCTCTGCCTATATTTCTGTCTCTGTGTCTCTCATGAATAAATAATCTAAAAGAAAAGGGGATGGATACCAGGCATGTTCCCTAAAGGGGTACGGATACACACTGTCGGAGCCTACCAACAAGCTTACAGTTTATTTTTTTTTAAGATTTTATTTATTTATTCATGAGAGACACACACACAGAGAGAGAGAGAGAGAGAGAGAGAGGCAGAGACACAGGCAGAGGGAGAACCAGGCCCCATGCAGGGAGCCTGATGTGGGATTCGATGCTGGGACTCCAGGATCACACCCTGGGCAAAAGGCAGGCGCTAAACCGCTGAGCCACCCAGGGATCCCCACAAGCTTACAATTTAGAAGAAAAGGTAAACACATCTGCAGCACCACAATATAGGGCACCTAAGACTCTAACAGATTGCTCACTGTCTACTGGCATCCGGGTGCCTGCACATGGATGAACTCTGATTGGTAAGGCCCTATTCTTTGTCTTCTCCTGCCCTGAATTGCTCCTTGCCTATTTCCACCCATCCACCCGTCCAATCATCCATCTATTCATTCAACAGATATGAGAGCACCTACCCTGTGCCATGCACTGGTGGCACTGGGAGTTCTGCAGTGAACCAGAAGGGCACAGTGGCTGTTCACATGGAGCTGCTCGCAGAACAGAGGAGCTACTGTCGCAGTTAATGTGTACCGAGCACTTGCAGTAGAGAGCTGTGGTTAGTAAAGTGCAGGGTGAGATACAAAATCACATCAGAGGAATATAACCCGGGTTTGGGGTCAGGGGAAGTTTCTGAGAATAAATGACACCTAATTTGCGACTTTAAGAAAGTGAGGAGTCGGCTAAACAAAAGTAGATGGAGATAGGACCTCAGGAACTCTGTCCTGTAAATACTCTGGCCATTTCCTATTTGTGAGCCTGATAACAATGGCCTGCCCTGAAGCCTGTCCTCAAACCTCCATTAACTTTCTTCTAAAGAGAATTAAAATATGAGGGTAATTTAATTGATTTACATATGCTTTAGGTTGGGTAAGATTGTGCATCATTGAATCATACTCCTAGAGCCGTAGGGTTCCACAAAGGTCTCAGGGACTCAAGGGGGTGGAAATGAGGGGTGGAGATGGAGGATCTTTCTTGCAGGGAGCAAAGAAGCTAAGCAGGATGTTTCCTGGGTCTCCTTTCCCTGATTCAACCAGACTGCTTCTGTTTTTATGCTTTATGTAGTGGAAAGTAAGGGTATGTATTATCAGGGGGCTTAAAAATAAAGTCTGAAGAGTTCTGAGATAGCGTATGGATTTATTAGAGTTCCTCAATTTTATTGTTTCGGAACATTTTTCTATTCCAGTGATCAAGTCCTTGACTAGGAGAATAACCGTCATCATGACACAGTCTCCATGAAAAAACTCAGATTCACCTTACGTGTTTCAAATTACATGCCTTTTCCAGGAGTGCAGCCCCCTGTAGCTCTATCTGGATGTGGCGAGTAAGATGTGAGCAGTTCCAACTTGTGCAATAAGATTTCAATGAGGAAAAACTGGACTTTTGCTGGGGGTGATCAGTGATGTTTTCTTGGAAGGGGTGGGTCCTAACTGGAGTTTGCTGGATTTCAATAATCATAGGAAAAAGGAAGGCTTTCCACATGAAAGGGAAAAATGGAGAAAAACATGGAGGCAGGAACACAAAGGCATGTTTGGAGAACAGTAGGAGGGATGATTTGGCTGGAACATGACTATCATGTGGAGTTGTTATATGAGATTAGACAAAAAAGCTAGCTTGGCTCAACATGAAAAGGGCCAGGAATGACAAAAAATTCACCTTCCCCTCCTGAGGGCCTTTGTACTTGCTGTTTTCTCTACTTCGAATGCTTTCTCCCCAGATCTCCAGGTGCCAAGGTCCTGCTCATTATGTAGGTCTTCAATCAATGTCATTTCTTCCAAACAGTCTACCTTGACCAGCTTGTGAAACTAATTCCTTTTCCATCCAACAACTCACTCTCAACCATTACTGCATTTCATTTCCTTCATAGGACCAGAGTATCTTACTTACTTGCTTGTTTATTGCCTACCTTCTCAAAAGCTGCAAAAATAAGAATCTTTTCTATTTTGCACACCATCGAATCCCACCTTGGCACATATTAGGTGCTCAGTCAATATTTTCTCAGTGAATGGTTGCATGAGTTGTTCTTTACACAATGAATAATGAAGAGCCATAAGATTTTCGGGGTAAAGGAAATGAAACCCGGCAGCATTTGAAGAAAAAGTAGTTTGACAGCAGATTTTAGGATGGAAGGAGGCAGTATGAGATTAAGGGCAAGAAGGTCAATTAGGAGGCCATTTTAATAGTCCAGAAAACGGTTAAGCTCCCAAAGTGTGGCAGGGGCTAATGAGCATGAATGTATGGGCTGGATGGGAGAATTGTGGACATCAAAGGCATTTGAGGATTGGTTAGATATAGAGGGTGAGGGACAGCTGGGAATTAAGGGAATGGTGATACCGTACTTGGAAAGAGAGACTTTAGGAAAAGGAGCTAGCTTGGACCGAGTTCGTTTTGTTTTTTTTGTTTTTGTTTTTGTTTTTTAATTTTTATTTATTTATGATAGTCACACACACAGAGAGAGAGAGAGAGGCAGAGACACAGGCAGAGGGAGAAGCAGGCTCCATGCACCGGGAGCCCGACGTGGGATTCGATCCCGGGTCTCCAGGATCACGCCCTGGGCCAAAGGCAGGTGCTAAACCGCTGCGCCACCCAGGGATCCCCCGAGTTCGTTTTGAAGCATCCTGAGCTTTAAGCAATGCATCATTTGGAAATGAAGTAGAAAATCAAGTAGGCAATGTGTGCCCCTGCCTGCAAAGAGGCACTAGGGGATGAAATAAAGGTCTGGGAGTTAGCAGCTCAAAAGTGGTAGTTGACCCCTTGAGAGTGAATCAGGTCTCTGAAGGAAGGTGCGGGAAGAAATGAACAGAGGGCTGAGAATAGTGTGGAGAGCAGCTGTCTTTTAAGAATGAGAGAGAGGAAGGAGGCCCGCAGGGACGGAAAGAGCAAATTGGGAAGAGGGCATTTCAGAGTAGTCATGGGGCACCAGAAGGTGGAGGATGAGGACGGTGCAGGTTGAGGACAGGAATGTCCCCCTTCTGTCCCTGTAACAGGAAAAGCAGTGTTCATTCACTCTACAGTTTGTTACCACCAGGACC